GCATAAGAAGGGGTGACAGGTGGGGCGAGTCCATTGCAAAAAAGGGTGACAGGTGGGGTGAGTCCACTGCATTAGAAGGGGTGACAGGTGGGGAGAGTCTATTGCATAAGAAGGGGTGGCAGGTGGGGCGAGTCATTTAATTATCCCAATTTGGTTCAGAGAAACAGGAACTGAAGAAATTTTTTTTCCCAGAAATCAATTTTTTATCAATTTCAGCCGTATCCATTAAAAAGAACTAACTTGATTTAAGCTTACATCAGAATCATCCCACCTTTTCATTATTACGTTCAAATATCAAATTAAATATTTATACCAAGAAAAGGCCGCCATATTAAAACAATTCACGATAGCAAAAGCCAAAACCCGTCAAAATAGGACCCTCCCTATATAAGACAATATAGGAAAATTATATCCAAACGAATTAGTTCCATATGCTATAGAACAAAAATCTCATGTGAATTTTTTAAAATCCAGGATTGGAAATTTATATAAATTTGAACTACAAAATGTAGATTGTTGGAAACCATTTTAGATATTTTATTTCAGTGCGCTAAAACAGCTTGGAGGGGTTATTTAGAAAATACTGGTCATTTTACAACAATTTAAATTTTAGGTACCACAGAAAACCGTCAACCACAAAAACATTGACATTATTTACAGATCAGATTGAATTTGATAGTCCTCAAACACTAAAAATAACTCATTTTCCATTATGATTACTACTATCCTTATCACAATAATTTCATAACAAAGTGAAAAATAAAACGCCAAATTACAAAAGTTTTTTTTATTGAGTTTTCATATAATAGATGTACGAAGGAGCGTGGGTTCCTGTGTGTGAACTAAACATGGCTAGACTTCATAGGTTGCTTTCAGGCGGATGCTATGAAGAATCTCGTTGAACTCCTGAAAAGATAAAATAATATTTACAACTTTGAACTAAACAGACAGGCTCTCTACATTCTAATAATGTATTCAATATAACAGGACAGAGGACACATATAAATGGAATGGCGTGCACGATTATTGACTAGTCTGATGTTCAGATTCAGCTAGCGCAAAACCAAAATTATGAACTGGGATATGGCTATTTGAGGCCTCTTGTTAAAAAAGTAACATTGATGGCACAACCCGTTTCATTTGCAGGGTGGGTGAGGTTATTGCTACGACCGTTAATGTATTCTTCTTGATATGAAAAGTTATAACACGTGTTGTAGTACATGTTGACGCATTTCAGAGAAAGAGATCATTTACAAATTCTCTTCGAAAATTATAACAATTATTGAACATATATAATAAGTTTTCATACAGTGACCCGTGTAATGGATGGACAACACACGGCACAATGGAGACGACAGGCTGTGTAAAATATGTATCTGTCAATCATTGTGCAATGAGCACTCGAAATCTTTGGATCAGCAGCTCAGAACGGTGACGAGCATCATCCAATTAATTAATTAGTGTAATAGGGTCTTCTTATAAACACACACGACATTTTAAATTGGGTCAAATTATTCAAAATTAATTGTCAAGGCCGGGGCACACAAAATGTTCCAACAGAGGGTTACAAAGTGCAGAAGATTTCAAGCAAACTACGGTTATCATCAAAAGTCAGATTAATGTCTGAACATTTGGAGTCCCAATGCACTGTAAGCAATAATTATAACCATCCGAGTGACATACAAGTAACAATGGAAACATAGTAAAAGGATTCATGTCTTAAATATTTGTCGTAAATACTTTTCTCATTCTTCTGCTCCTTTAGTATTTAATGGCTGTGGTTGATGAAGAAATAGTGATACTTACAAACATACATTTGCTTCCACGCCTTATAAAAGCTCGACTTCTGACTGCAGCACACATAGGCCTACTGTTGCGTCTACACCCGACTCTGCCTAACTGCCAAATGAGCATTCGGGAAGACAGCTTGCACTACTGAGTATGATGACCAACTTGTTGTTATGCAAATAACAACAGGTATAGCTCATTTTAGATGAGAGGTTGTTGCTGAAACTGTTCACGAATGTTAAATAAGCCCGGTGGTGATAGCTTCATATGCTCAAGTCGTGCAAATATTCGATGTCACATACGAAACTC